TAAAAAAAAAAAAAAAAAGAAAGCCAATGGGCAGGCTGTCAAGTCAGGTACAGGCCTGTGGTAGGTTCCTATGAATGACCCTGGATGAAGAAAAACATCTGAACACTATGGGGTCATTGACTTCAGGTCATACTTCAAATCCCGGAACTTCATTATTTTATAATTCATTCAAATGGATGTTCATACAGTCAATAAACATTTAATACTCAAAAAAAAAATTTATCTTCTCAAAAAAAAAAAAGTATCAAGGGTTCATGAGGGAGGAAGGAGCGGGGAGGGAGGGGAAAATGAGGAGCTGATGCCGGGGGCTTAAGTGGAGAGCGGTTTTTTTGAGAATGATGAGGGTAATGAATGTACAAATATGCTTTATACAATTGATGTACGGATTGTGATAAGAGTTGTATGAGCCCCCAATAAAATGATTTTTTTAAAAGTCACTTGTGCAGCAGCATTAGGTTAACTATATTTTCCATTAAAATTTAGTTTATGAAAAAGAAAAAATGCATATTACTTCCAACAAGAAGTTTCTCTTTATGCCAACAAAAAATGGGAAAGGAAGAGGAAAAAGCACTTCGAAATACCTATAAAATAATACATGAAGCTAAGAGACCAGGTCTACTGGTTAGAAAGAAATAGTTGGGATCCCCGAGACTATGGCCTGAAGTCACCCCTGTGGTAGCATGGTCAATCTCTTAAAAGCAAAAAGGAAGCATCTAACCAAGGGTAAAGCTCACCGGGTCGGGAAACCAGACATGCAGGGAAGGAGGAGGATAGTGATGGTACACACAGAGAGCTGACACAAAATGTGTACATGCTGTTGAATGTGAACTTGATGATCTGCTTTGTAAATCTAACCTCATTTGGAATAAGTGGTTTTAAAAAGAATGAAGAGAAAAGAATTTGGGATGGATAGAATGTATAAAGATGGTCAATATAAACCTAAATAGGCCTGTAATCATATTTAATGCAAATGGACTAAATACTTCAGTGAAAAAGACTGTTGGAATGAAAAACCAAAGTCCTAACACTAATAGTAAGTGACTTTGGAACTCAACGCTCTGTCCAATATTCAAGTTAGAAATGCAAGGCTAGGGGAGGAAAAACTACAGCCAGGATTAAATGTGAGAGTGCTTGAATCCTAGGTTTTTTCAGATAGATGTGGTGCTGTGAGTTAAGCAAAAATAACAGTACAGCATTTCCAACCCACAGAGCATTACCTGCAGCAGCCAGGTGTGCGGTTACCTCGTCAGCTGCTGTGGAGTTGAGTATGTCTGAGTCATCGTAGGACGTGTCCTCGGGAGAAGACGGCGAGTCTTCATCGGCGCTCAGCATGCTGTGTTCCGTGTAGGTGGCCACGTGGACCTGCTGCACCTGTTGGGCCACTGCGTGAGCTTCTATGGTTGCCATGTGTTCCGTCTGGGCCACTGCGTGCTCCTCCATGAAGAGCTGCTGCTAGAGACAGGCAAAGGACAGGGCTCAGTGTCCACTACAACACAGCGCCCCACCAAGAGAGGCTGCCTCAAGAGTCAGGCCCTCTCATCAGCCTCTGATTGCGTTACACACCACACACCTTGCTGTCCCACATCATAGGATATGGGAAGCAGCATTCAAATAGGACATATTTTCCCGTTGTGGGTCCATTTTGACGGAAATTAACTGTACTAATTTTATGTCTGAGGCCACAAAACAATAGGTGTTCTTGATGATATACAATAAAGACACATAAATATAACAGTAAGATATTAAAATGCCCCATAGACTAGCATCTGACATTGTCAATAAAAAACAATAAGTACGCAGATGAAATGCTTAACACTTTGTATTTCTTTATTTCAAAGACAGAATGCGAGTTACAGATGGCCCCCGCCCCCAATGCCATTATTCAAACTGTTTTTCCTGTTCCTTGTAAGCTCTAAGACCACGCAGGAACTCACAAAGGAGTTAGTAGTTAAAGATTTGTTCTGCCACTGCACATCTAAGGAACTACTGAGAAACTTGCTTTCCTTAAAGAGTATTTGTGGAGCATACACACGGAGACTTGAAAAACAGGCTAACGTCACACACAGTGTTCTTGTTGCTGAGTCTGTCCTGCTCACAGCAGCCCTGCGGGCGGCAGAGCACCATGCTGCCCAGCTCAGCCGGCCAGCCTCACAACCGCTATTGCCGACAGGCCAGTCCATCTTGTTGAATTAAGGCACATCTAGACAGAGGACTTATTCTGCCGCTATTTAAAATTGTAACATTGAAAAACTCTGAAACAGTGTGTACCTATTGTGTCGTCCCCCGTGCCGCCACGCCCCCCCCAGCCCCTCTGCAATGCACCTGGGCACTGACTTGTCACAACATACAGGTCTCCTGAGCCAAGTGCCCACTGCTGTATGGCGAAGCTGCTTCCCATTTTTCCTGTGCTAAACATCCGTGCATAGAAAATGGTACCGATTTACTGGCGTATTCCTTAGAATAAAGTCTTAAAGGTAAAAGTGCTAGGTCAAAACACATACATTCAAGTTTTAAGTTATGATTCATGTTGGAAATGAAATGTTTTACTTGTACACTATCTCCACTTGTCAGAAGTCATCCCCCCAATGCACACACACACACTTGCAGTTTGACTAGCATGTAATATTATACAGTGGTGCATATCTGCAGTTAAAAACAGAACAGCAGCCACAGAAATGCGACATTTATGGCTACGACTAGCACCATGGACTGTGTGCAAGCTTCCCCTCTTTCTAATCTGCTCTCTGGGCACTGTGTCCCACAAGCCCCTCCTCTCACTTCTTGCGGGGGCGGGAGGGGGCAGTTTTATGGCGGTGACTCTTGATCCTCATTGTATATTCTTGTGCTGACACTAATTCTGCAGCCCCTCCACCCCACACCACTCCCGGTACCTCCTCCCAGCTCAGCGGTTCTTACTGTGGGAATATGCAATCAGAGGCAAGTACTCCGTGTTTCAAGTTATAGCTCACTTTCAGGATAAAATCGAACCAGCAAGCCCACTGGCATGGAGCCCACCCTCACTCACTGAGACCCTGGGGGCAGAGTGGGGCTGCTTCACTGGGTTTCCAAGGCTGGGAACGAACAGCCTCAACTTTCTGCCGTGGGGCAGCTGGTGGGTCTGACATGCTGAGAGCCATTAGCAGTGCAAACCCTAACCCACGACACCAGCGGGGCTCTTCAAGCCACCACTGGGCACCACAGACCTGTCCCCGACCCCGCTCCTACTAGACAAGGAGAATGGGGAGCAGATGATTAGGAATCATTCCGTCAGCGCTGGACGCCCTCTCTGGCCCTCTTGCTTTTTTATCTGTGTGGGGTCATCTCCGCGGTCCGCTGTCCCCTGGCATGTGACCTGCACACACACGCACGCGGGGCGCACACACACAGCACCATGTTCCTTCAAATGGTGTTCTCAGAGAGGTGCCTGGTAAGCAAGAACATGTGGACTAGAGAGACAAAGGGGTCAATGGGGAAACAGTCACAGTTGGGAGATCTGAGTGGAGGGCATGTGAGAATTGTTTGTACTATTCCTGCGACTTTCCCATAAATCTGCAATTATGTCAAGACTTTATTGTCTTAAGATACCCAGTGTGCTGCCCTGAGGATATTCTTGTAGCTGATGTTTGAAATGATATACAAGGGATTCCTTGATTTGTACATACTATTTAAGTCATATAATTAAGCACTGGGAGAAGACGGTACCATCAAACGGTGCTTTTTCCATTGCTCTCTTTCCTCCTCCTCTAAGAGGCAAACTGCTTTATGGCATTTTTGAATTCCTGTTACTTCAAAATTGTTTTTAAATGACTTGGGATTAGATACCATCTAACCGCTCTTCAAAGGGATTTGTACGCTCTGCACTTGGCATAATGGATCTGAATTCGTTTTCTCCAGGATGCAATTCACAGCATAAATCAATAGTGCTGTCTGCTCCGCGGGCCTGTCACCTCCGCCCTGGGTCCCACCCCACCCCCACCCTCCAGCTCCTTGCGGGCTCACTCAGCCTGAGCTTTCGAGAACAAGGGCGGAGCCACCTGCTTGAGCAGCCTGGAGGGTCTGCAAGTGATGCGCCCCACGTTTTCATAAGATAATCAGCAAAAGAAAATGTCTTAACCCCAGACATGATGATGTACTGCTCAAGATCACACACATGCATGCACACTCACTCTCACACATGCACACATGCCCCAAGGAATTCTTCCATGAGGAGTCAGCTCCTCTGGAGAAATAGACTGACAGGCACTTACTACAAACAGACGAAAATTTCGTCTGAATTTTTAAAACCTGCCTATTAACTAGATGCCCAGAACCCCCGACAAGTCCCGTAAGCTCTCAGCCTCAGTTGCATCTTCTGTGAGGGCAGGGCGGTGTGGGTCCCAGGATTAGCCAGGAGAGGGAGGTGCATGGCGCCTGCACACTAGTTAATGATTCCCGAAGCCAGGAGCCCTACTGTGTCATGAGTCTGTCTGTCTCACAAACACGGGGCCTCAATGTCTTCATCTTTAAATTAGCTCTCTCCGAGGACATGGCCGTCTTCGTTGTCTGCAAGTGTTCTGAGTCAGGCAGCTAAAAACCCTGCCTGACTTCATGAACTCCAGCAGCAGACAGGTGGTCCTCCGATGGAAAATAGGCCAACTCTATAGGGGCAGGGGCCCTCCAGAGAGCCAGCACATGGCTGGGCGGTGAGTCTGCGCAGGTGGAAAAGTAGGGAAGCCAGCAGCAGCACCACCCATTTGTGACCTCCTCCCTCCTTACCTCCCCACCCACTGCCACTGAGCCCGCTCCAAGTCAATGGCCCGCAGTGCGGGGTAGAACTGGAAATCTTTATGGGAGCAGGCAGCCTTCTCTTTCTCCTGCAGAGTGGCGGGGGGTGGGGGGGTGGGAGGGTGTTGAACTGCCAGTCTGATGATTGGCGGTCTAGTGTTTAACCCATGAACCCCCAGGACCCGACAACACATTAATAAATAGGCCTCTCTAGCAGTCAATCTCACAGAGCCAGGAATGCTCATCCACCTACTTACAACACCCCTTTTAAAGAAACAGTCCCCAAATAATCACACGATGGCGACTCTACTCTTGCCTGCAACATTATCCTTGCTCAGTATGTGCTTCATCTCAAGGTCGTCTTTGTTCCAGAAACCAAGCGGGCCCAGAAAAAAACAGCCTTTCCTGTCCCAGGGCAGGCTGGTGGTCGTGGTCATGGCCAACAACAGGCCTTGAGCCTGTTTGTTAGAAATGGGCAGAGGTGTTAAAGCTGTCTACCCCGCACACAATGAATGAGAATAAATGTCCAGGACTTTTTTAAAAATCATGGTAGGAAGAGAAGTGGGCTGGGAAATCTAATCAAGGCAGACCTGAGTGCAGAAGAAAGCACTCCTGTAATCAATAATATTTCCACATCAAAGGAAACACTCCCAGAGCTGCCACGGGGCAGGCTCAGAGCAAGACTGCGCCAGGGTCTCCAGCGGGGCAGGACAACAAAGAGATGCAGAATCCAGCCTAGTAACCCTGAGAGACAGCACTTCTCAAAGGCTCCCGCAGGACAGGACGTGCTGACCACCCTGCCCCTCATCCAAATCTCCCCACAGCAGGAGGGCAGAAGCCGGGGGCTGGGAGAGGCCAGGAGGGGCTGAGTGAAGCAGGAACATTCCAATCATTTCATGGGGCTCAGAAGACAGAGTCCACTTGACCTAGGAGCATGCTCTTTCGAACGGACCAAGGGTGATGATATTTGATTTGTAGAAGGGGGGGGGGGGGGGGCGGGGCGTCATCCGGTACCACTGGGCTCTACAAAAGTACAAAAGCATAAAGTCATAGTCCGATTCATGAGTTTTTACACTGTTCTGCATTGTCAGACCGCACCTATAGGCACAAAGAGAGAAAGTAAATGTGACACAATATGGAGTGTAGAAGTTATGAACCCCAGTGATGGCAAACAAAGGGGAGGAGGGAGGGGGCGGTGGCCAGGCACACGCATCTCCTACTAGCCCCACAAGGTGTGCCGTCAGGAGACCTGATCAAGGAGCTGGGAGGGGGTATAAGATCATAAGGATGGAAAGCAGGAGAAAGGAGGCAGAAGCCAGAGGTGCCCAAGTGTGATGCAGCCAGAAACAGAGGAATGTGGGGCTGCCTCTGCTCCCTAACACTGCCAACAAAGCCCCGCTGCAGCGGGAGAGGGGCAGACCATGATGCTCCTGAGAAGCTTTTCTCTTCCATTCGGTCTTTCAGCCTGACCCTGACACCAATCCCCGCAAGTAGAGCCTTCCAAACGATATCCACTGACAATTAAAATGAGGTGCTACGGCAAACTGTCACAAGGAAAAATGTCAGGCCCCACATTTATGGCAAGCACCCAGAGGACAGCACAGTCCAAGCTCAACGACAGCCTCCATTACCTGGAGTAAGACTACCCACCACTCAACGTGGAGCATCTGACACTAACTTTTAAA